GTTGTGCTTCCAAATTTCACAGATGTTCTTTGTGTTTGGAATCCAGATCTTCCCTATCTTGTATTCATTGTTTGCCATAGCTGAAGTATCTGTTATGTAACTCCTTGTTGTCCCATTGTCATAGCCCATAGAAGCCTCTGAAGTACACACTCTCGACCATAGATACCTGGGAATTATGTTGGACTTGGTCTGCTGTGACCAAAATTGCAGTTTGAACCCTGCCCTTATGTGTGAACTTCCTTTAGGATTATCTTGCCTGCGTATCAATAATGTTGTATGTGTATTTTGCCATCCTGTGATTCTTGTTTAGTCCCTTTGGTCACATAGTCGTACCCATCTAAAGTTAGAGTGTGACTCTGTCTGGTATCCTGTTGTATCCATGTTATCTTGTATTCTGCAATCTGTTGCTGAGCATGTTACATTCTTTATCAATAAGGTGCCTTGATCATGAGAAACATGCCAAAGCTCCTCAATAAGCACATAGTAGCCCAGTTTTTTATTGTGTAAATCCCATGCCATGCTTATGCCCATCCTTGCTTCCCTCCCATCGGAATGAGTACATAGTACCAATACCACCAAATGAGAGTTATTCAAAAGATGGGGCATGACCACAGTAGCGTTCCCTGCAAAAAGGAAAACTAGGTTAGCAATAAACAAATTCACCATACGCTCCTCCACATGGATTTGAGTATGATGAGCGTGTGGCATCCCAGAATTTCCCCTGCCCATGCTACTCCTTTCCTCCTCCTCTCCTAGGTTCTTGCAACCTTTACTCTGATGTATGGGCATTGTAATTTATCACTATTCATAATTTTTCTCCCTTTGACATCCAGATCTCCAAATCCAGTACACTCCATTGGGCCAATATCCAAAGCATAATTGGCTATATGATCTGCTAGCTGGTTTCCTTCCCTCACTGTATGAGATATCCTCAAGTTGCATCTTTCCATCAGCTCCCTTATTTCTTCCACATATACTACAACAGACCATGGTATATTCCATTCTCCTGTTAGTACATTCTTCACTAGCATTGAATCAGTGTGCAAGTCAATAAGAATGTAATCATGCTCAACACAGTACCTTAAGGCTTCTAGGATAGCTTTCACCTCAGCTTGTGTATTTGTACCCTCCTCTATTTCTCTACCACATGCATAGACTACATTCCCCCCTTCATTCCTCAACACATAGCCTATGGAACTCTTATCTGGATTACCCCTAGATGCTCCATCGGTATTGACCTTTATCCATCCTTACTCAGGTAACTCCCATAACACCTTAGTATATTTCAACTTGTGTGTGTATTGTTCCAGTAATAGCAGCAAATCAGGCCATTTATGTGGTACATTTTTCAAGCTTGGTTTTCTGAATTTGACTAGGTATTGAAGTGTGGTTGATACCTGGTATATAACTCTATTACCTGAGACTGCATCTCCATATTTGTATGAATTTCTTCTCTTCCATAGTTCCCAAACTATTATCGATGGCAATGCCTGTAGTACTGGTTGTATCCTTGGGATCACCTGGGCAGTCCAACACTTCACCACAGCTTGATGAAATGTGAGTCCATCAATATTAATTCCTGCAACTGATAAGAAATATTCCCACACCTTCCTAGCAGTATAGGATTTGAAAAACAAATGTGCCAAGGTTTCTTCTTGTGGTAGAACACGGCATCAACATAAAGCCATAAGGTATCCCAATCTTCTGAAAAAATCGTCTAGAGGTATTTTGTTCATCCAAACCTTCCACATGAAGAAAGACACTTTAAATGGTAACCCTTTCACCCATATCATCTTATAACCTTTGCAAGGTTCCCTCCTTCTCCTGATATAATCCCAAGCTGACCTCACAGTAAACTCACCCCTTGTTTCCAACATCCAAAAAGGTTTGTCCAGTACCATATTTTCACCTGGTGGTTTGATGTTCTGCAATATATGATTGGCTAGATCCTTAGGTAAGAGTTCCCTTAGTTTCTGCTCATTCCAGTTCCAGCCATTCATTACTTCATTACATTTTGAATTGACTCATCACAGAAGTAGTCTGGTGGTGTTATGAAATAAAGAGCCCCCAAAACCAGTCCAATTCTCAAACCAAAATAATGCAGATCCCATTTTTGGCTGCCACAGAATTTGATGCTCAATACTATCTCTGCATTCTAACATTTTCCTCCAAATATGAGAGCCATTTCTTCTCCATGGAACAACAATGGCATTTAGTTTCTTACAGTATTTTTGGCTCATAAATGAACTCCACAATGATGGTTTTGTTCTGAAGTTCCACCACAACTTACAAAATAATGCCTTAGAGACATCATGTAAAGATCTAAAATCAATCCCTCCTTCTTCTTGTGGCAAGCATAATGTATCCCAAGAAGCCCAATGCCTGCTACCTCCTTCAGTTGAACTACTCCAGAAAAATCTTGCCATGAGTTTGTGCAATTTATTGATAACAAAAGCTAGTGCATTAACTACTGATAGTAAGTGAATAGGCATACTCTGAATAACATGAGAAATCAACACAGCCCTGCCTCCTATAGACAACATTTTCCCCTTCCAAGACTGCAGTTTATCCAGCACCTTGTTTATGAGACCATTATAATATTCCATCTTCCTCCTAGCATAGAAAATAGGGCATCCAAAATATGTAAATGGGAACTCCTGCCTCCTGATCCCAGACACTCTTTCAACCTTGCTAAACACTGTTTCATTGGTAAGATGATGCATATAGACTGCAGATTTTGCTTTGTTAATCAAGTGACCTGAAGCTGCTTCATAAGCTGACAAAACTTGCATTATCAGTTGCAAGGAAGTTTTATCTGAAGAAGAAAAGATAATGGTGTCATATGCGTATGCCAAGTGATTAATCTTAGGACTCCACTTAGGCATGCCAAAGCCACAGAAATAGAGATTATTATGCAAGGCATTCAATCCTCTTGATAATGCTTCTGCTGCCAGTATGAACAAAGTAGGAGATAAGGGATCTCCTTGTTTCACTCCTCTAGTGGACTTGAAAAAACCATGTGGTTGGCCATTTATCAAGACAGAATACCAATTATTAGAGACCAAACCAAACACCCAACCAATGAATCTTTCAGAAAAGCCCATTTTCCTCAGAATTTTGGTCAGAAACAGCCATGAAAGTCTATCATAGGCCTTCATCATATCCAGCTTAATTACTACATTTGGTCCTGCCTTAGTCCTTAACCTTATATCAGTGATTATCTCTTGTGTCAATAGAACATTTTCTACAATACTTCTGCCCTTCACAAAGCCAGCTTGCTCATCAGATATAAGATTAGGTAAGAGCCCAGCTAATCTCTCATGAATAACCCTTGAAAATACTTTGTTGATAAAATTACTAAGGCTAATAGGCCTCATGTCTGAAAATGCGATCACCCCTTTCTTCTTAGGTAGTAATACTAGGTTTGTATGAGTGATAAACCTAGGAAGATCTTGTCCATTGAAGATGGCCTTCACCATCTCCACCACATCCTCTCCAACTATATCCCAGCAACTATGAAAAAAACAGTCATTAAATCGATCGGGACCCCCAGCACTATCACCATTCAGCCCATACACAGCCCGTTTGACCTCTTCTGCAGTAGGTTGTCTCAGCAGTTCTTGATTCTGTTCCATATCCACCATGTGTGGTACATGTTCAATGATATCAAATGCAGTAGGAACCACTTCTTCATGAAATTGTTTTTGAAAAAATTGTACTGCCTCATTAGCCATTTCTTCCTTATCTTCTATCCAAACACCAGCTGTGTTTTGGATTCTCTTAAGCTGTAGCCTCTTTCTCCTCCCATTCACATGTGTATGAAATAATTTCGTATTTCTATCTCCATCATTGAACCATTACATTCCAGCTTTCTGCTTCCAAAACTTTTCCTCCAATGCCAGATATTTGATTAATACTGCCTGCACCTTCTGCAATCTTTCTCTATTTTGTATTGTAGGGTTAATTTCAAACTGAGCTTCATGAACTCTNTACATTCCATTCTCTTGTTAGTACATTCTTGACTAGCATTGAATCAGTGTGCAAGTCAATAAGAATGTAATCATGCTCAACACAGTACCTTAAGGCTTCTAGGATAGCTTTCACCTCAGCTTCTGTATTTCTACCCTCCTCTATTTCTCTACCACATGCATAGACTACATTCCCCTCTTCATTCCTTAACACATAGCCTATTGAACTCTTACCTGGCTTACCCCAAGATGCTCCATCAGTATTAACCTTTATCCATCCTTGCTCAGGTAATTCCCATAACACCTTAGTATATTTCAACTTGGGTGTGCATTGTTCGAGTAATTGCAGCAAATCAGGCCATTTATGTGGTACATTTTTCAAGCTTGGTTTTCTGAATTTGACTAGGTATTGAAGTGTGGTTGATACCTAGTATATAACTCTATTACCTGAGACTACATCTCCATATTTGTATGAATTTCTTCTCTTCCATTATTCCCAAACTGTTATCGATGGCAATGCCTATAATACTGGTTTTATCCTTGTGATCACCTGGGCAGTCCAACACTTCACCACAACTTGATGAAATGCGAGTCCACCAATATTAATACCTGCAGCTGATAAGAAATATTTCCACACCTTCCTAGCAGTATAGGATTTGAAGAACAAATGTGCCAAGGTTTCTTCTTGTGGTAGAACACAGCACCAACATCTAGAAGCCATAAGGTATCCCAATCTTCTGAAAAAATCATCTAGAGGTATTTTGTTCTTCCAAACCTTCCACATGAAGAAAGACACTTTAAATGGTAACCCTTTCACCCATATCATCTTATAACCTTTACAAGGTTCCCTCCTTCTCCTGATATAATCCCAAGCTGACCTCACAGTAAACTCACCCCTTGTTTCCAACATCCAAAAAGGTTTGTCCAGTACCATATTTTCACCTGGTGGTTTGATGTTCTACAATATATGATTGGCTAGATCCTTAGGTAAGAGTTCCCTTAGTTTCTTCTCGTTCCAGTTCCAGCCATTCATTACTTCATTACATTTTGAACTGACTCATCACATAAGAAGTCTGGTGGTGTTATGAAATAGAGAGCCCCCAAACCAGTCCAATTCTCAAACCAAAATAATGCAGATCCCATTTTTGGCTGCCACAAAATTTTATGCTCAATATTATCTCTGCATTCTAACATTTTCCTCCAAAAATGAGAGCCATTTCTTCTCCATGGAACAACAATGGCATTTAGTTTCTTACAGTATTTTTGGCTCATAAATAAACTCCACAATGATGGTTTGGTTCTGAAGTTCCACCACAACTTACAAAATAATGCCTTAGAGACATCATGTAAAGATCTAAAACCAATCCCTCCTTCTTTTTTTGGCAAGCATAATGTATCCCAAGAAGCCCAATGCCTGCTACCTCCTTCAGTTGAACTACTCCAGAAAAATCTTGCCATGAGTTTGTGCAATTTATTGATAACAAAAGCTGGTGCATTAACTGCTGACAGTAAGTGAATAGGCATACTCTGAATAACATGAGAAATCAACACAGCCTTGCCTCCTATAGACAACATTTTCCCCTTCCAAGACTGCAGTTTATCCAGCACCTTGTTTATGAGTCCATTATAATATTCCATCTTCCTCCTAGCATAGAAAATAGGGTATCCCAAATATGTAAATGGGAACTCCTGCCTCCTGATCCCAGACACTCTTTCAACCTTGCTAAACACTGTTTCATTCGTAAGATGATGCATATAGGCTGCAGATTTTGCTTTGTTAATCAATTGACCTGAAGCTGCTTCATAAGTTGACAAAACTTGCATTATCAGTTGCAAGGAAGTTTCATCTGAAGAAGAAAAGATAATGGTGTCATCTGCGTATGCCAAGTGATTAATCCTAGGACTCTACTTAGGCAGTCCAAAGCCACAGAAATAGAGATTATTATGCAAGGCATTCAATCGTCTTGATAATGCTTCTGCTGCCAGTATGAACAAAGTAGGAGATAAGGGATCTCCCTGTTTCACTCCTCTAGTGGACTTGAAAAACCATGTGGTTGGCAATTTATCAAGACATAATACCAATTATTAGAGACCAAACCAAACACCCAACCAATGAATCTTTCAGAAAAGCCCATTTTCCTCAGAATTTTGGTCAGAAACAGCCATGAAAGTCTATCATAGGCCTTCATCATATCCAGCTTAATTACTACATTTGGTCCTGCCTTAGTCCTTAACCTTATATCAGTGATTATCTCTTGTGTCAATAGAACATTTTCTACAATACTTCTGCCCTTCACAAAGCCAGCTTGCTCATCAGATATAAGATTAGGTAAGAGCCCAGCTAATCTCTCATGAATAACCCTTGAAAATACTTTGTTGATAAAATTACTAAGGCTAATAGGCCTCATGTCTGAAAATGCGATCACCCCTTTCTTCTTAGGTAGTAATACTAGGTTTGTATGAGTGATAAACCTAGGAAGATCTTGTCCATTGAAGATGGCCTTCACCATCTCCACCACATCCTCTCCAACTATATCCCAGCAACTATGAAAAAAACAGTCATTAAATCGATCGGGACCCCCAGCACTATCACCATTCAGCCCATACACAGCCCGTTTGACCTCTTCTGCAGTAGGTTGTCTCAGCAGTTCTTGATTCTGTTCCATATCCACCATGTGTGGTACATGTTCAATGATATCAAATGCAGTAGGAACCACTTCTTCATGAAATTGTTTTTGAAAAAATTGTACTGCCTCATTAGCCATTTCTTCCTTATCTTCTATCCAAACACCAGCTGTGTTTTGGATTCTCTTAAGCTGTAGCCTCTTTCTCCTCCCATTCACATGTGTATGAAATAATTTCGTATTTCTATCTCCATCATTGAACCATTACATTCCAGCTTTCTGCTTCCAAAACTTTTCCTCCAATGCCAGATATTTGATTAATACTGCCTGCACCTTCTGCAATCTTTCTCTATTTTGTATTGTAGGGTTAATTTCAAACTGAGCTTCATGAACTCTAAATAACTCTTCCATGCTAGCTATCTTCTGAAAAATATCACCAAAAGTAGCCCTGCTCCATGTTGATAGAGCCTTCTTCAGTTTCTTGAGTTTGTGATTAAACAATATGAAAAGATTTGCATAGAAATCTGCTTTCCAGTTCTCCTGTACCACTGCCTTAAAGGATTCATGTTCTGTCCAAAACTTTAAAAATTTGAAGCTCTTCTTTATAGGAACAAAAACTGAATCAAATGAAGTCAAGAGAGGACAATGATCTGAATCAATTTTGGGCAGATGAGTGACCTCCATTCCTGGCCATAACTGTTGAGCTTCAAAGTTAGCAAAAACTCTATCCAGCCTTTTAAAAATGCAGTCTTCTTCAGCACGACCATTCCACCAAGTATATATGCTCCCTTTAAAACCAAGATCTGAAAGGTTGCAAGTAGTCATACAATGCCTGAAGTCATCAACTTCATTTAAAGGAACTGGCAGCCCTCCAAACTTCTCTTCTTCATCCCAAATCACATTAAAATCACCTCCAACCAACAATGGGATAGTCATGTCTTGAGCTAAATAGTACAGTGAATCCCATAACTCAATTCTGTCAATGTGATCACAGTTAGCATAGACTAATGTGATCATAAATTCCTTCTGCTCCTCTGTATCAAATAACCTCAATGTTAACTGTTGTACTAAATTAATCTCCACAGTTACATCATACTTGCCATCAATAAATACCCAGATCTTATTAGAGATGTTGACAAAGGCTTGTTCAAAATCATTTTGCCTCCGTAGCCATCCAGTTTTCTTGATTGCTGCATTGGTTCCATCAGCCCTATGAAATCAAAATGGTATTTTCTATGCATCGTTATAAGCATTTTAAAGGCTCCTTGTGTATTGACAGATCTAATGTTCCATAATAGAGCATTCATCTCTAATTGATGGATTTACAGTGAGTCCTCCTTGTTTGGACCCCAGCTGGTTGACTGCATGGAATCTCCTTCTTTTTTTTACCCCTACCAGCTGATTTGCCCTTATCCATAAACCTAGGGGATATGTCTCCTTGTCTAGCAACATTTCTGAAGTTTTGACAAATGGATTCTGCATCTAAATCCCCTCTTTGTCCTGTTGTATCATCTTCCATATCCTTCTGCTGATCATTAGGAATAATCTGATTGTTGGTTGGCTTTGGTATAATGCTTTTGTCTGCAGCAGCTATGTTCCCTTGTTCTGCATTCATAGTACTGACCATTTGATCATTCTTTTATACATCAGTGGCAGCTACTTCATTCTCCTTTTTTGTGTCTCCAATCTTTTCTGCATTTTGTTCCTCCTCCCCCTCACCAATATCACCAGGATCAATTGGCTCCTCAACTCTAGGATCTGATGTTGGATCAGTAGTGTCATCGGTGATGGGAATAGGGTTGGATCTATTATCTATCTGTTGCAACTTAGAACTTGATCCAACAATCTCCATTGAAGTGTGAGTTGTTTCTGTAGTTTTTTCTCCTGTCTGACCCTCTCCCTTGTTAGTATTCCCATTAACACTGATTTCTTCTCCTTGTTCCTCTCCTACAGGTACAACTTCCTCTTTATATCCTTCAGATAAATCCCCCTCATCTGGATCCTCTTCTGTCTGATTGCTCCATAGTCTACCACCAGTCCAATTGACATTTTGTTTCATCAATTCCTGCTCAGCTAGTTCTTCTGGATCAGTTGCCTGAGATGGTATCTCTTGGCAAGACTGATTCATAATAACATTGTTGACATCAAAAGTTCTACTAACCCATTGAGCTGTGGATTCCTTTCCTTGTTCATTACTCTTCTCCCCTGTATGTACTGCATCTTTTGTACCATTATTCTCCTTCCTTGTCTTTTTTCCATTTGATTTAGGATCAAAAACAGGTGATGCTGCATTAAGTGGCCTCCCAGATACCTGTGAAGTATCATTTGGACTTGATACATTGTTGGTATTCACTACTGCCAATTGATTAGCTCCATCTACATTACTCTCTTCATTCTCTAAAACTGCAAACTTGTTGGCTACCTGAATCTGCTAATTAACTGGCAAATTAGCTGGGACTATCTCCATTCCTGCACTAGGCAGGACTTGTTGTCTCTTCTGATTATTACCCACTTCAAATGGAACCATCTGCTTACCTCCATTCCCTCCATTTTGTTGCACATTCTGGGGATCAACTAGAACAATTTCTTTTCCAGTGTGACCTCTAATTTCAGCCTGCTTTGCACCATTTTTTACTCGATTGTCCCTAACTTCCTTCCGTTTTCACCAAGATTCCCAACAACTTTACCACTAGATAAGATCATAATTAAATTATTCTGAGAGTTCTGAGCATTACCTCTTGCATCAGTAGCTGGCTTCTCCCTATCAGGCTCCACAAAAAGTTCTGGATGTAGTCTCCAACATGATTCTTCATTATGTCCTTGCAACTTGCATTCCTTACAGTATTTAGGTATATAATCATATTGTATCTTCACCCATTCAGTTTTGACAGTACCTGCAGCTTCATCTTCTATATCCATACGAACTCTTTTTGGCAGATCCTCAAGCAAATCCACCAATACCTTAACTCTAACACAACTTGGCCTAGTCTTGTTGACAGTGGCCAAATTTAAATGCAAAGGAGTTCCGACAGCTGAAGCCAAAGAAAACAAACACTCCTTTACAAAATACGTGGGCAACAAGTTTGGAAAAGAAATCCATGCCATCACCTTAGATGTCTCTTCCCCGACTTTAAACTTGGTATCATATATCAATGGACGTACTTGATATTAATATCCATCCTTAGCCTTCAAATAATATGCTCCTTTAGACGTAAAATTTGCAAAATCCTCAAGCAAAGTAAATCTGATCAAAACATGACGATCTCTAAACAAACCAATATTGCATTCACCCTTGATTCCACATTGCGCTGGAAGAATTTTACGTATCTCATTCAATTCTAGCCATCCATAGGAAAATTTCCCAAGAACTGCGTATTGTAATCCTTCCATGATATTCATTCGTTGAACTTCTGCTTCAGTCCACTTAATCATAGGCTGCCCATGTAGAAAAGTAACAGGTTTCATTGGAATTGGCTCGATGATCTCATTAGTTTTTGAACTGGACGTACTCGTGTGCATGGAAGTATTTAATGCATTGGGTTTAAGGATCTTGGAGTAATCTAATGGTTGTGGAGTAGGATTAGGAGTGGCTATGGGGTTGAGGGGAGGCAACCCAGCCGTTGAAGATGGCTGGCCGCCGGCCGGCGTGGCCATGGCAGCGAAATCGCGTGTTTCTCTCTCTAGTCGCCCGGAAAATTGCCAGAGCCTCTCTCTCTAGACTCTAGGGTTAAAATGCTCACTAACTTGCTTAACTTTTTGGTTAAAATCACCGTAGTGTTGGTACCAAAAATGCCGATGATCAGCGAACCACTCGAAGGCTGTAAAACATATTGGAATATTTTTATGTGAAGAAGAAGAAGAAGAAGAAGAAGAAGATCAGAAAATTTCGTAAGTAAATATTTTGGGATTTGAAGGAATATTTATAGCCAATTTGGTACTGTTTCTGAAAAGGTTTGCCACCTTTCAAAACAGCCATAGCTGTTGGAACAGGTTTGACACTTTTTCAGAACAACCATAGCTGTTGGAAATATTGCGGAAAATTAAAACGGATTTAAAATAATCCGGGAAAGAAAACGGGCCGGACCGGACCGTGTCGCCGGTCATGGGTTATTCGGAATTGAATTTTCGTTAATTAATTTAATTAATTAATAAAATATTTGAAAAGAATTTTGTCCAAAAAGATTGACCAAATCCAAATCCGAAGCCGAGCCGAGCGAGCGAGCGACGACGACGCGAGGCTTGCCTTCTTCTTAGCTCTTTAAGAGCTAAAAGATGAGCTTCTCTAAATATACACAAAGATTTTGTTTCCTTCTACTAATGAGGGACAAAGTGCATTAGTAAAGTGAACTAATTCAAAATTTTACTTCCCTCCAGTTCTTTTCCCACCATTTTCAATTCACACCTCTTTTGTTATAAATAACAAATAATAACAAAAACCCAACAGTAAATTTCTTTCTCTTTGATGCTTTCTTCAATGTCACAACCTAAAATCCCACCTTAGGAATCGTGATGTCACCTAGTCTTTAAAACTAGGTAAGCCTAACACATGAGGAGATCTAAAATAGATAACCATCTTAACTATATAAAAGTGATAAATGAGATAACGTAACTAAAAGTGAATAAATGTTATATAAGTACAGAGTCATAAGCTCTACCAACATACACTAGAATTTCTTAATACAATATTGTTCTAAAATGAAGATAAACAGTAGTAAAGATCATATCCCAATGTGACTCCGAGGCCCGCAAACGTCATGTCGCGCCCCCTTTTTCCCTCTTTGCATCAGAAAATCGGGTTTGTGATATTTTGGGCATAGGACAACTCATTCCTTTTGGGAACTGGGTTTTGCATTTTTAAGAGTCGCCACCTAATGATTTAGGGTGCTTTAGGACACCTATAAAGTTCAAATACAACTATATTTTTGGATAACCAGAGATAGGGTAAGGGCTTGAAATTATCCCAAGGGGAAGGTGTTAGGCACTCCTCAGGATCCACTAGTGTGGTTCCCGGCCAGACAGTTCTTTGTGAATTTGTGCAATTAGCAAGTAAAAAAATAAGGCTCAAATAAGAGGGAATTTCAATACACAAGTATTTGGAAGTGATAAAAGTAAAACAGAGTTTGCAAAGCAATCATTAAAGG